CTGCTGTCCCATTTCTATCTTACTTCTAGCCAAATACATTTTGGTTCTTTTCTGAGCAGAGTACAATAGGGAAAAGGATGCTTTTGCTTATTGAAGTGAAGCTTGGGTTCCCTGCTTGCTTTAGGATGGTGAGAGCTCCCCATCAAGGTACAGATAGTGACTTGGTCATAGGGATTCCCTTCTTCATGCAACAACTCTTTCCTAAGTACTCTAAGATTAGCAAGCCATTGGTGCTACAAGTTTACACTGCTTTCTGCTTACACAGAGTGACGACTTAGAGAAACCATCATCCTCTTCAAAGAGCATTGATTTAATTCCAGTGGCCCCAGTGATTTCTCCCAGGAGGACCGGGAAGGTAAGAAAGGAGGGCCTTTGGGCCAGCAGGTGGCATAATGGTTAAGGTGCTGGACTCCCACATGGCCAACCATGGTTCAAGTTCTGGACCTGGAGGCTTGAAAATCATACCGGGCGCATGTGCATACATGCCCAAGATCTCATGAGGAGAATGGAGGAAAAAGGATTGCAGCATGGCCATCCCCCCTTGGGGGTGATTTCTCATTTTCCTTTTGTCTGTCTGTCTGTCTCTGGCAAACACATGCACCGTATAGCAAAAACAAACAAATGAATGACAACAACAACCAAAAAAAAAAAAAAAAAGAAGAAAGAAAGGAAAGGAAAGGAGTGCTGGGACCAGCTGTTGGCATAATGGCTATGTTGCTGGACTCCCATGTGGTTGACCGCAGTTCAAGTCCCAGATCCGGTGGCTTAAACTCATTCCAGGCACGTGTGCATGCATGCTCAAGATCCCGAGAGGATAATGGAGGAGAGGTGATGATGGTGGCATGGCCATCCTCCCTGGGGGGTGATTTCTCACTTTCTGCCTCTCTGTCTCTCTCTGTATTTCTGGTGAGCACATATACCCTATAGCAAAAAAAGAAAAAAGAAAAAGAAAAAAGGGAGTGCCTAAAAGTCTGTGTTCCATGAAATATTAGTGGTTATCCACACAAATATTTTGGGGGAGATCTATTGCTAGAATATGTCCAATTCTAAGTTACACTGGTCTTTTTAATGCCTTTTTTTTTCCCTTTCTTTATTTCAAGAGAGAGGAGGGAGAGAGAGAGAAAAAAATGGATGTTGACAGGGTCACTTTCCATGTCATGATCGTCCTGCCCAGCCTCTCAGTGAGATAGGCCTTCAGGCGTGTACTCCATGCCCACCCTATTTAGGTTGGGCTGTAATCGAACCCAGGCCTCCTGTGTGGCTTCAGCCTCCAAGGAACAGCATCTTAGCAGCACATGCCACTTTGGCTGAGCCCCCCTTTTTTATATTTCTTAAAGTATTATTTATGTATGATAAAATGTACCAACTTTGAAGCACACAGTTAGGTTAATTTTGGTAATTGTGCATAATGTTATACCAGAAACCACAATCAAGATACAAGACATAATCTAAACAATTTCATCATGATCTTTTGCACCCAGACTCCCTCCCTCCCACCGCTGCCTACCCTAGGAAACCACCCATTTGATTTCTGAGAAAAATTAACACCTCTGTTTTGTTTTCATTTTAGCAATATTATTCTTCATCATTACAAACTTGCGTGAGTCGCATGGATTTGCCTCCAAGTCCTATTCCCAGTTCTTTGCAGCAATTTGCAATGTAAGTTTATGTTGTATGAAAATACCAAGTTGCTTATAAGAATTTTAAGAACTTAAATTATAGCACCAATTTCTGTGACAACCAAAGTAGTATCTTTCTACTGAAATTAAAATATAATTGTTTGGGTTTATCACTGTATATTTAAAAAACTCAAGTGTCTGTGAACATGTGAAAATATGTGAAGAATTCAGTAATTTGTTAAACTTTTTTGAAAATAATTTTCCTCTGACCAAGATTATTGATAAGGACCAGAGCTATCTCTAGAACTTTAAACAACTTCATCCATGATTCTCCCCTTCATTCAAGGCAAGTCCCAGGAGGGATTGCAGGTCCTTCTAGACTGTAGGATTCAAAGACTCAAATTCATGTGAATGAGAAGACATTTTCTCCTGAGCCATTGCAGTTTACTCATCAGTTCTGTTATAATGAAATAGTCATTGCTGATTTTATTCAAAATGTTATTGTGATGATCATGATGGTTTTATTTTAGAGGAAGTCAAAGCCCTACCATCACTGTTAGACCAAGTATCCTTGGATCACTAAAAAGAAAAGGTACTATTATCTGCCAGCAGAAATAAATATAACTTTAAATCACTTATATAAAATAATGTAAAAGCAAGTCTTACATAGAAATTCATTTTAAAGGATTTACTTATTTTAAATACCTTTGATAAGTTACTAGAGGCTTTCATTTTACCCAAATGGAAATATATCTAAAGGCATCCTAAAAACTATAAAGAACTGTACAAATGTGAATTGAGCAGTTTCATTTCAGTTTAGTTGGCTGTCTAATGGCACAGTCACCCATGTGGGCCATCATGACATGGGCTGGCCCTCAAGGGATATTTTTAAATCATGACCTTAGTGTTTTATCATTCAAATATATTCCACCCTAGAAGTTATGAACTTGAATGTCAGTTTTCTTGCATCCAGACTTAGTTATATGTATGTGAAACAATGTGCAGATTTTAACATTTACTTCCAGGCAAAGATTATACTTATGCAATTTTTAAAATTAGATATTTTTCCTTACTCTTTAAAAATATATTTATGTTCTTTATTATATGATATAAAAGAATAATCTATTTATTGGTTTGTCAGAAAAGTCATGATGTATTTTTT